GGGGGGGTCTATGGACTATGGTACACTATTAAGAAGTGCTAACCTGCAAATGCTATCTTATCAATGTAACCCAAGATTCATCAATGTAACCCAATGTATAGATTAAGTTCAAATTTTTTATTTAAATCAAATAAATGTTGTTAACATATGAGAAATTGTATATATTCAATTAAGAAAAACACTTAAAAGGACTTCAAGGCTTTACTCAAGTGAAAACAATTTCATCATCCTCATGAATATGGTGGGTTTCTCTCATATCTAATGGCTGCAACACAGTTTTTGTTCCGTGCTGAGTTATACAATCGAATCCTTTCATGATAACATACAGCACGCTGCTAATACTAATTTGTTAATTGTGCAGTGTGAGATTCATTGGTCATAACAGAACTTTGTGAGATCATGATGAACAAAGAGTGACAGCTTTTAGTGGGTATAAAGAGCACTCTTTGCGAGTTTTCTCCATTTAATCCATTTAAAATGTAAACTTTGTTTTTCGGCCACACACACACGTTGCAAAGTTTCGGGAATGACATCCGCATATTTATGCGGGATTTGCTCTCGAAGTAGCAGTGATTATAGTGATAACCATAGCAATAGACGGGACAAAATATGTGAAAATGTGCATTAAGACGAGCACCTGGTCATAACAGAACTTTGTGAGATCATGATGAACAAAGAGTGACAGCTTTTAGTGGGTATAAAGAGCACTCTTTGCGAGTTTTCTAGGCTTATAATCCATTTAAAATGTAAACTTTGTTTTTCGGCCACACACACACGTTGCAAAGTTTCGGGAATGACATCCGCATATTTATGCGGGATTTGCTCTCGAAGTAGCAGTGATTATAGTGATAACCATAGCAATAGACGGGACAAAATATGTGAAAATGTGCATTAAGACGAGCACCCTCACTAATTTCAGAAGCACCCTCAGGGACTATTTCTGGAACCTGGTTGATACGCTTTTATTGCATAACTATAGGCTATACAAAAACAACAAAATACAAATGCACTAAATAAATGTTTTTAATAAATGCAGATTTACAATTTACAAAAAAAAGATCCTCTGGTCTTCTGAGATGCGAGGACAACGTTTGAGCGTACACGTATATCTGAGAGACAATTCATAAAAGAACAATGTATATTTTAAAGCGCATGTCCAGTTTTGTGTGAGTGAAAGAAATCTGCTTGCGAGTGGAGATTCGTGCTCGCGCATTACATGGATCACCTAACATTATGCGCTCTCGACATGTGTCATTAAGATCACGCTATAGAAATCAATACTTAATATTATTAAGTATTAAGTATAATACGTAATTTTAGTATTACATCAATAATACTCCTTTTTGATTTTTGAAGAAGAGAAGAAACTACCAAATTTTGCTATAAGTTTGATTGCATCATATAATAATTGCTGTTAATAGTGTTCATCGTCTGTTTGATTACGTCTTTAATTGATTTTTCCGTACATTTCTGCCATATGTACATTAACTGACAGTTATCACTGATAAGCTACCACTAAATATTGTAGAAACTTAATTTGCTGTAAAGTTGCTTTGCAATGATTTGTATCGTGAAAATGCTATACAAATAAACTTGAATTGAATTGAATTGAAGAAAGCAGCTGCCTATACACATGCCAGGATCCGCCACTGCCAGATACCGTTATAAATACTAAAAACAAGCCTATCGCAAGACGTCTGGTAAGGGGGGCACCTGGGGTGGCCAGCCAAATTTCAGGGGGGGCCGGCGCCGATGGGAACTGTAGTCCGGAGTGACATATAACAGTCTGTGTAGTGTGAGAGTCAATGTAATAGTAGAGTGACCTCTAGTGGCAATCGGCCGGAAGGCCAAGGACCGGATTCGTGACAAGACCATTGAGTAGATGAGTTTTCCTGTTTGTGTGATGACATTTAAAGTCCCTGACAACCTCTGTATTCTCATTTAGCCACTTGTTAGCATCCAGCATTTTCAAGACAAGCAAAAGCTTAAAAAAAATCAAAAAGGAGTATTATTGATGTATTTTATATAGTAGAAAAAAACATGAAAGTAGGAGGTTGTGTTAAATTTAAAAACCAAAAACTTATTCAAAAACCCATTGACTTCAAAAAATGGAACCAGAAGTGCTAAAATTCAAACTTGTTTCTGGATTTGGCTTACAAATAGGTTATCTCTGCAGCACGCTATTTAGTCCAACAGCATTAGGGCTTTTTCATGTTTGTATCACTTCACTTTTATGTTTGCTGTTGCAGACCAGATTATGTGAAGACTGTGGAAGCAGAGCAGGGAGCTGAGTTTTTGTTTTGGAAAGTCTACATTTTTATTTTTTCCCCCCATGGATAAGCATAGCATCAGAGCGTCTTTTTCTTGCTCCATGATCACTCAGAGCATGTTTCCCACACTACTAAGGGAGCGAGAAATGGAAAACCTAGAGTCGAGCTATGCTGAACAAATACAGACATTTTTGAGTGGGAAATATGTCACTCTGTCACTCTGCCTGGTAACAGGCAAAGCACAAATTTTTTTTGTTTCTTTCATAACTGTTTTCATTTGTGAAGAATATTAAAACTGCCCAGTTTTTGTCTTAAAGGTAAGTTACTCAATATTAATTACTTAAATATCACACTCCCAAATGTTCTGTACAAACATAATCTCATTGACATTCCATTGTTCTCAATAGAAAACGTTTTGTTCATAAACCATTTTTTATTTTTTAACATAAATTAAGGAAACCTTAATCACATTTTAGCTGTAACTCTTAAAGTCAGTAAACAATGAATAATATTAATTCTAGCAATTGCAGTAGTATAGTGATGGTACTATTATCATTACTACAGTTATTTATACAGTTTATTTTTTAGGTGTTTTACCTGGTAAAGCGAGCATGGACTGAAAATTCCAACAATTAGAAGTACCGGTGGAGTCGATCGCACAGGACATCCAGAGGTTCTCAAAAATGTCGGAGGTGATGATGACACTATCATCGTCTGTAGACTCTTTCCAGTACTGATTATGTAATGATAATACAGCAGACCCACATGCCAAAAAACCCAAGAGAAGTGCAATAATTTGCAATATGTCTTTCATATCTCCGGATCTTCTGCTTTTCTGGATCTTCTGTTCCAGGTATCATGAGATCAATCAATGATATGTTGCACCAACAAATGGAATTTAACCTTGTAATAAACATCAGGGGCCTTTTATGATTTTACTGTACAACAGTCTATGACTAAGCTGTTTGATTTCAATGCTTTAGCTACCAGAAGTTATAAATGGGGTACCGCAAGTATACTACTATAGGAAAACCTATAAGGTAACATCAACTTACTCCAAAGAACCATACAGTAAATTCAGTATTTCTTTAATATACAGTGAAAAGTGGTTTATAGTAACATTCAAGAGTTAGATAAAATCTTAGTTATGAATGAATAAATTAAAAATAATATAAGAGATTTCTTTCAAAATTGTTTTTGTCTTTTAATACTACACCAAGTTTTTAAGATCACTTTTTAAAAATAGATAATTTGAGATCATTTTATTAGTCATGAGGTAATCAGGATTATCTTTACATAACCGTTTCAGATGTTTAGAAAAAAGAATAAAATAAAGAGTTTGCAAATATTTGAGAACGTACTATTTGAAAGTGTATTTGGGGAATCAATACATGTACAATATATTCATATTAGCAATGGTAAAGAATTAACATGTTCTAAGGAAAGCTGAAGATGCTGTTTAGATTGGAGGGGTTGGATGTTGATACAGCTTTTAAGCTGTTACAGTGTATTGCTTATTCTGCTATTTTGTGTCGTGTAATATGTAGCACTAAAGCCTTATGAAAAGTTATTGATACATATGGGTGATGCTAAGTTATTAAATCCCTCAGTAGAAATCGCATTCTACACCCCCACCACCGTGCAGACCAGTATTCCAAAAAGTAATACAATATTTATTCGTTATTTCAGGCAAGTTCAATCGGTTCATAAAAGTTCAGTTGGTTCAATTGGCTCTGTATGCATATCCAGCTGAATTTGTTATCATTATATTAAGATACAAAGATGAACCTTTGATGTTTTATCATCTGACTGATAATTAGACACCACCTCCAAGATTTAGTTTTTAAATTATAGGCTATAGAATTTGTAAGTATTCAAACATACACTTAGTAAATAAATAACTGGATATGTACAGAAGCCTTCATGACACCTCAATAAATGCTTCCCTGGCTAAGTGATCTTTAACGTCAAAAGAGGAGGAGTGGACAGCTATGTTAGGAAAGAAAGGATATGTTTGAAAAGTCTCAAGGTGGCTTAATAAATTATTTCAAGACATAAATTGGAGCACTGGCATTGAGAAATCTTATATGTGAATATGAGGGACTTTTAAATAGCATCGTGTTTGATGCACCCCAGCTGCAGATAGTGTGAGCTGCCAGACAATGACAAAGTTCTTACTTTTGCCCACCATCGATTAAGCCCAGAACCAACACTTGCCGAAGCTTTACCCCATCTCAATTTAATTCCTGAAAATGTTTCCTGGGTGACTATTTTCACCTATTAAACGGTTTACTCCATCAGCTTTCTTCCTCTCTTATTAAAAGAACACCAGCTTTTTAAAACTTGTGCACAAAGCAAATTAGAATACTAATATTAGTATAATCTGATCAAATCTTTAACCCTTAATTTTAAACTTCAGTGTGTAACTCACCCAGCACCTCTTTTAGTGTCAAATTCAAATATTCTTTCCATATATACTCGGCTACAAGTAAAAATTAAAGCACAATGAGGTTTAGTTTTATTTGCAGCATGTGTTCAAAGCTGGCAAAAAGCACTGTTGAAATTGGTGTAAATAAAACACAAACAGATACAATCATATAATCTCAGTGCAACACATAAAAGTGAGGAAACCCCCCCCCAACACAAAACACCTCATTTTCAACAATACCATTTTATATCAGTCAGCCCTTGCACTCTCTATTGTCTTATGTATCTATGGCTACACTAAGATTGCTACTTAAATAGCAGGCTTTTAGCTAAAATGTTGAGTCTGGTTCTAACATCTGAAAGAAATGCTATTCCAAATTGCCTTAAAATCTGTTCAAATAAAAAGCACAAATTGTTTGGGTTTTGACAAACATACACTTAGTTGTAATGTTTAAGGAGGTGAAATACAAGACAAAAATGTTCATGCTAATGGGGTAGTAAAAAAACTACTTATATATATTTAGTTAATGAACAATTAAATAAATTTTCCATTGCAGCTGCTGATGTATATCTATATTTTTGCATGCTCAGTGATGGTACAGGGCATTTGTACAAAAATCAAAGAATAAGCTAAAACTATTACAAATACAAAGAATAAATAAGTTAAAACAATCAAATGCTATATGTTTTAAGATCTATATTATTAAATCCCTTTTATACATTTCGTGACAAAACATATATATAATGTGAACAGGTGCAGCTCTGTTTTGCTATAAATGTGAAATTTTTCTGACTTTAAAAAGCACTGGCTTTATCTGGAGGAAAAGTTAGTAAGGCAACAGCGAGTTAATCTGTTCTCTGTCAGTGTTATGATGACTCCAAACCCCAAAAATGGCTAAATACTTTTCTCATTTGCAAGGCATTGTGATTTGGCTCGGCACATCCTCTTATGCAGATTTCTTAGCCACAGCTAAACCAATGAGACCAGCCAATCCAGCCAAACCAAGGCCAATGCCACCAACAATTGCCATTCCAACCAGCCCATCTAGAAAACAAATGAGAAGCATGTTAAATGCAAATTGCCTGTTTAATCTTGATATATGAGAAGATCACTTTTTCTGTCCCTTATCTAACACACCTGATTCAACTTATCAGCTGAATTGGGTGTGTCCAATGAGGGAGACATGCAAAATGTGCAGTGCTGGGGAGCCTCCAGGACAGGTTTAAAAAACCCTGAGCTAATGCTATCCACGTTTTTACTGAACGTTGATATCTTGACTCATGATGAGTCCAAGTGTCACAATGACTGTCTTTTGTCACTTTTGCCTGTCAAAGTTTAATGAGTGGATAGATGACATGAAGTGGCCTGAGGTTAGCTCAGCACAGTGCAGCTTAAACCTGTGCTTATTTTTTATTTTTTAGCAGTATTCAAAAAGTGTTTAATTAATTCAGTCTTGTTTTACCCTGTTTTACCATGGATTCCTATGTAGAACAGAACAGTACAGCATACAAATGGAAGTTAGAATCCATCATGGCACTGCTCATCAGTTACTCAGGAAAAAGGTGGATACTGCATAATATCACTACACTCTTGAATGAAGAAATTGACTTCCGTTATAAAAACCAATGAGAAAGGTACTTTATTCATGCTCATGAATACAATATTCATGCTCACCTTTCTTCATGGCTTTATCAATGAGTTTCTCCAGTTCTTCAGCTTGAGAATTTCCTGGTTCATTCCTCAGTAAATTCTTGATGTATTTCAGAGCTCTCTCATATTCCTGGAATTAGTGTAAAACAGGAGAATGAGAGTAGCAAAAATCATTCCAATATGAGTTTTCAACTGAAAACATATGAAAAGCTCTGATAACAACCTTGAGCTTATAATTGGCAACAGCCAGGTAAAACAGATAATCTCGCTGGTCATCCTTGGTACCCTTATGGATAAGTTCTGGTGAAAGATAAAAAAATTTCACATTTAGATTTATTAACAAGACAAAACTATGGGAATTGTAAATATTAAATTTCTCTCTTCTTTGGATGATTCCATTATGTGAACCATTATGAAAATGTAAAGAAAACAAATCTAATAATAGTGTTAAAAAAATATGTGCCTTTCTTAGAAATGTACTCATATTTATGTTGGTATCATGTGGTTTTGAAAAACCTTTATACCATTTTTAAGAGCTAAAATGTTATGTGATTATTTATTACGTCACTGATCCATCTATAGTTTAGTAACAAAGCTTTTGTTTTAAATGTGATGGGATCCAGGTTCAAATCCCGACCTGACATACTGTATATATACTATATACACACACACATTATATATATATATATATATATAAAAAGTTGTTTAAGTTAACAGGAGCTCAGGCGGTTGAGGTGGGGAAAAATGCTTACACATTAGTCAAATATCTTTATCAGGCCTATCCCCCACCCCTGCCCTACTCATTGTGCCCACGCCTTTTATTTCACTTTTCCTGGGGGTATACACAAATGTCTCAACTATGAATGCGTCACTGCAGTAACACTGCTCACTTTGCTTCAAAATCATGGGTTCAACCAAAGACAGCAATAAAATGTATAACCTTTTCATTGTCACTCCTATCAGATAAGAACAAAGTGTTGTCATCTAGAATCAAGATAACAAGAGCTGTGGCACTTAACTACTGTGAAGTTGCAAAAAAAAGCCCATGCTTTGTGCAATGTTTAATGTACTAAAGTGACTAGACAGCTCATTGGGTAGCTGCTGATGAGCTGCTGAGTGAAAGGGTGGGAAATTGAACAAGTATGGTATAGACAGGAAGCCATATATTCCACTCATTATGACATCAACTTATCTTATCTTCTCACTGAATGGCTACAACATTTCACAAAATATTATTATATTTAGACTTACCATGTACAATATGTTTCACAGTGGTGACTCAGTCACACATTGTGATTCTCATTTGGACACTTCAATACTCTGAACTCAAAGTGAAGAGCACTCACTCTTCAACACAAAACCACTCCATGAAAGTCATGTAATCACACTGTTATGCTTTTAAAAGTATCATTACTGAAGGCCAACATCTTTATGAAACATACAAGAGTTTTAGCAACTTAATAGCACATCAATATACTCCACTCATACTTATGCAGTAGACGAGACTAGAAAGCAATTAACTCGCAAGTGAATGAAAGGATACAATTGTATAAAATTCATATAAAAGACTAATTGTCTAAATAAAAAAAGAACACACTGTGTAACTTGAAGGTGCTTTTGTAAGAAATATTCAGTTCACTATAAATCTAATGAAAGTGTGAAAAAGCTGAAGAAGTTCAACCTGCCACAGGAGCTGCTGACCTCAGCCGTCAATGAGTCCGTTCCATACACTTCAGTAACTTTCTGGTTTGGTTCAGCTACCAGACACCAGAAAACTACAACAGACAGTTCAGACTGCTGAGATGATTATTGGTGTTCCCCTGCCCACCCTCCAGGACCTGTACTCTTCCAAAGTGAGGAAGAGGGTGGAGAAAATCATCACAGACTCCACTCACCCTGGCCACAACTTCTCTGAACTGTTGGCTAGTGCAATTCTCCCACTGTTTAGTGCAATATCTTTAAAATTCAATCACATTTATTCATAATATTATGCATAATACTGTAAATATGCCTATTCTGATTTAACCTAACTGTGTTTTATACTTTTTCAAATATTTACTCTTTAATTGTATTAATATGTGTCTTGAATTTATATGTTTGCACTGGAAGCTTCATTATCAAGATTTTTTTAACCTATTAAAATATTTAATTAAAATATTTATGGTTTAATTGAGTTCATGTAAATATGAATACACGTACGTCTTTGATTTAAATCTGATAAAATCAAGAGTTCAAATGTTCTGCAACGAGGAGGTTTTCATTTTGTTACACCGATTGCTCTTAGACAACAAAATAATTTATGAAAAGAGAGATTAAAAAAAAAGAACAGATGTCAAAAATGATTCAAATTTAGATTTTTTTTTCTTTCGCAACTAAGTTGACTTTTGTTGGGCTTGTGATCGCTGTGGGCACTTGTTAAATGTTTGAAATAGGATAAAACTATAGAGTTTTAGTATTCAGTTACCATCGAGCAGCACTATTCCCTTCTTGATGTCCTCCGGGTGTTTGCTTCTGATCAGACACCACGCATACTCGAACTGCGTGTCTTTAGACACAGAACCCTTTGATAACTCTGCCTTGTATTTCTTCTCAAATTTCTGAAAATCAAAATAATACAATGTTGACAACGTGTCCACGCCAAAAACTCGCTTTCAATTGATCATCGGGGCAAATAAAAAGCTCTAAGCAGTAAGCACTCACATACAGACAATTAATCTAAAAGAGGTTATAGAGCATTCGGCAGTTCTATTCAGACAGGAAGTTTTCGCACATGATGTTTCATAGTGTTATTATTATCATTATTTTTTTTTTTAGAATTAATCATTTCAAACAGACATGGAAAAATACCACAAATTACCTCCAGATCCTCTGGGGCAACAACCTCACCAACAACAGCTTCCATGATAACGAAAATTATTATGTGTTTACACTGGATGTTCCTCTTCTTCTTTCGAGTTAGTGGCGGTTGGCAAGCAAATGTATTGTGCATTTCCGCCACCTACTGGGATGGAGTGTGAGGCGATGATATCAAGGGAAATGCTAATTCAGGGTGGAGCATCAAACGAAACCACAGTATATGAACAAAACAGAAGGGGGAGAAAAATAAGAAAAACGTTTATCTAAATTATTTTAATTAGATCTGTTGCCTTTAAGTAAAAAAGTTGCTAAAACCTAGAATCCTGTAGGGAATTTCTTCGTAAATTTTAAAGTGACAAACTATTTTTATCGAATGACTTCATTTGATTATCTAACATTAACCTTTTTATTTTTATATCTGACACACTGTACATTACTGTCTCTGGGTGTGTACATGTGCTACAAAATCCTGTATCATGTTTTCCAATGACATGTAAAGACTGATTGAGTGCTGTTTGTCCTGTATGTAACCGCTCTCTTATGTCCCACAATATTTCAGGTCCCAATATTGCCACACTGCCATCTCCTTTGAAACACGTCTTTGTTTATCCAGAATTACTTTTTTCAACTAAAGATCATCTGAAGGACTGGAATGTAACCATGTCCATGGAGGAATAATAGGCATGTTTGACTGTTGGACTAATTTCCATAATCATTCCCATTCTCTGTGCCTCTTTATCAGGAAACCTTCCAAAGCTTTCCAACTTTGAATAGTCACATTCCCAGCATTTCTCCATTATATTTTAAGTGGAGCCTTAATTTCATGACCTTTAATTGAAATCAAATAAACCATTCTCAGTTGCAGTCTTCTTAAAGGGGTCATATGATACTATTTTAAAGATCATTATTTTGTGTATTTGGTGTAACAGGATATGTTGACATGCTTTAATGTTCAAAAAACACATTCTTTTTCAAATACTGTACATTATTGTAGGTCCTCTATGCCCCGCCTCTTTCAAACAAGTCGTTTTCAACAAAGCCCCCTCCTTTGACAAGCGCAGTCTGCTCTGATTGGCCAGCTGACCCAGTGCATTGTGATTGGCCGAACGCCACAAGCACACATCGGAAATGTAACGCCCCTTGCCATAATCACAGCTTCAGCTTTCAAAGTAAATATCAAGACAGTTAATAATGTCGGTAGTTTTACCATCAGTTCAAGCCCGAAAGGGCAACAGAGTCACGTGACAGACACAGTGATGATGCAGTACACAAGCCGCGGTTAAGACAGCTGATGTGCTATGATTTCTGACAGACAGTTCACTCTCCTGTGATGTAACCCTGTTCCCCTCACACACACACACACACACACACACACATGGCGCGTTACTCTGTGCTGCGCAAAACTCTGCATTTGAACAGTCAATAGCAAATACTTAAACTAGTAACAAAACATACTTACAGTCGCTGATTGAGAAGCGCCAGATTGTCATAGCAAAGTCGGAATTGACCCTTTTATTTTTTTTAGAAATAGCCTTTGTGCACAGCCAGCCTTGTACTCTTTCTAGGTTCAAAAAACTGTCGTCCATAAAATGCGTTGCAAAGATTCGAACATCTGGGTTGTGCTGTTCTGTTGTAAATAAATCTTAACCAATGATTCCTAATTGCATCTACTTCCGGAAGGCCAAATAAAATGCTTTTGCTCTTGCACTGAATCGCACAGCATCTCCCTGACATGGCTGCATCAACACGACTGCTGTTCCTGAAACCACGCCTTCTTTCTTTGCATGCACATTTGGGCGGCATTATGCTAATATTTCCACATAGTGATGTAGATATGTGGGGGCGTGTTAGAACGAGCCGTTTTAGGTAGGCGTGGCTGACTCTTAACTTTTATAAAGAATATCTCTTTGGATTTGAGACTTTAGTCTTTGCAACTTTACAGATCTTCTTTATGCACCAAGAGCTTGTAACACTCCAAAGAGAAAGGAAAACTTGAAATCGCATCATATGACCCCTTTAACTCTAATAGTATTTCCCCATTTATCTGCAAAGATGCTACTGGTGATGCACTAAATGAAGAGCAACATATTCTTAATGCCTGAGTTTGTATAATGAGTATATTTTTCTTCAATGATGTTGAAATATATATGAAACTGCCATAGTCTATTGAAGATCTAATCAAAGCGCAACATACTCTCCAAAGTGATTGTCCAACAAGTCTCGATTGTCAGCTAGCACCCCAATCTGTTACAGCCAGACATACATTTTTTGAGTAAGGATGCCAAAAGTCAATTTTTAATATATCTAAAACTTAAGGTTTCTTACCACAGATACCTGCTCTAACATCTTATAGATATTTAATTGTTAATTTTATCCCCAGCAGTTTGCCCATTTTCCTACTTCGCCTATGGCCTCTTGGAGTTTCCTTTCTAACTTCCATTTCTTCCGCTCTTCCATAATGTACAATCATCTCCGTATATTGATCTTCCTTGTACTTTAGAAAAAGAAAAAAAAACACTTCATTGTATTAAAAAGAATAGGGCTTGAAACATTTCCTTGTGGTGTTCCATGTGTCTCTCTGAGTGTGCACACACTATATATATATATTATATATATATATATATATATATATATATATATATATATATATATATAAAAGAAAAAAGATCCACCTCAAAAGAACATATTGTTTATTAAAATAACTTTACCATAAGTTTATAAGCTTTAATCGGGTGTCAGGTGCAAACGTCTTCCGCTAAAACCTGTTCATAAAAAGAAAAACATTAAAAATGACCACGTGATGTACAAATTGATTAACTAAGCCAATCTGACAGGTGTTCTTCCTCGTCAAAATGAAGCGCCACGCGACTGCTGATCTATTGAGAAAAAAAAAGACACTTGAATTAATCGGGATAAAGTTTTTGGAGAATCATTTTTGTTCTACTCAAAGTTTATATACAGTTGGCAGAAGCTTTCTTTATGGTCATGTACTTTTCTTTGCTGTGGTGAGTTTTGATTTGTCCCTATGATAATTTCGCATATATTTCGAAGATGTTATATTATTGATCTTATCTTTTTTTGCGTTGCATGTTGTAAATTACACTAACCATAGTTTAACCATGGTAGCTGTTTGTGTGATTACACAAATGGTAAAAACCAAAAAATTTTAAAGTCCGTTGTGGTCTGTGCTACTTGCAACGCTTTTCTGTATTTGGTTGTGTTGTGAGGCTTTGCAGCGCGTGTGTTGTCAAACTGATGAAGATGTTTTCTTAATTTGCTGGTGCTCTTTAAGTTGCAGCGCGTTGAGCTCTCGCAGCCACTGTATAATACATATAAGTGTAGAAATGTAAATGTATGTCATTTTGCGTTTTTCAGGTTTCTTTTGTTTGGTTTATGTCCTATCTCTGTTCCTGATTCCATACCTATTGGTAAGAATGCAGTTCTTAAAAGTTCAGATGTTTTTTTTTTTTTAGTGTTTTTATAAAGACAGTTGCACTATGGGCAATACAAGGTCATATATTAAAGATGTGTTTGTTTCTCAGGTATGTTCAGGACAGAGTGCCATGATCGTCATTTCTGGTTGTCTGTCAACTCAAATTTCCTTGGCCACAAATTTAGGTTCGACGTTCAAGGTATTCAGTGTTTATTAGTCTTTCTTTCTTTCTTTCTTTCTTTCTTTCTTTCTTTCTTTCTTTCTTTCTTTCTTTCTTTCTTTCTTTCTTTCTTTCTTTCTTTCTTTCTTTCTTTCTTTCTTTCTTTCTTTCTTTCCTCGCTCTCTCTCAATTTTCAATTCAATTCAAATCAGCTTTACTGGTATGACAAATTGTACATTGTATTGCCAAAGCATTTGAGCAAGAAAAACCGAATGGGTAAATAAAATGTACAAAAAAGAATTGTATGATGAACAGGTGTAGAAAAACAATAGTACAGCAATATGTACAAGTGGTGTGTGTTTACATATGAGTGTACAAGAGTTTGTGTGTGTGTGAGTACATGGGCGCAGGACTGTCGACTCTACACTGGTCGACTTTTCCCTCTTTTTGTGGCAGGCTTTAATGTACCTTGCCGCCAGTGAAATGCAGCCCTTTTTTTATTTTTCACCAAGCAAATATTGAACTTGTGCATCGTTCTCAAGCTTTTTGAAGTTTACATGAAGTGTAGCTCTGTTTCTACTTCTCCTTGGCTACAGTACAGGTATAACCTGCTCTCTCTGGGCAGCCAGCTCTGTCTGTATCTGCCTCTCTCTATAGCCAAGCTGTGGTCACTGAGTCTGTATTTAAACTTTTTTTTTTTTTTTTTTGGTTTGTGATCTCTGACTGTGCTCAGATATTCTGCTGTTGTGATCCCTCTTTAGGGCCAAATAGCATTGCAGTTTATTTTGATTTGGTGTTGTTTTGTACCAGTAAGCTAGGTAGTTTTCTTTTTGTGCATGAATCATTTGGTTAGGCCGAATTCTGTGGATGAGGGTGTCAGTGTCCTGAGACTGGTTATTGTTGGTTTGATTAGTCTGTTTGTGGAGCCTCGGGACCAGCTGAATGAGGGGCCTCTTTTCAGTGTTCATTTCATGAGTTTTAAAGGCTTTAAAATAAGAGTTGGGGCACTCAATTTTAGATGTATCCAACATTTGATGGCTCTTTTCTCAATGTGGAGTAATGGTATTGGCCTAATTCTGCCCTGCATGCTTTATTAGGTGTATTTCTCTGTACCCTAAGGACGCTTTTACAAAACTCACTCTGCAGGGCTTCAGTTGGATTTGTCTTTTTTTTTTTTTTGTCTTTTTTTCTTCTTCAAACTCATGATTTAGGAGAGGACCCCAAACTTCACTGCCATATAATGCAATTGGTTGTAAAACTGCTTGGAATATTTTGAGCCAGATTCTAATTGGTATTTCAAATTGAAAATTCTTGCTTTCTCTTTCAGTTAATTCACGGCCAAGTTGAGGTTTCCGTTTGCACTGATTTTCAACCCAAGGTATGTGTAGTTTGTGGCATGATCAATTGTGGTCATATCGAGGGTGAAATTGTATTTCTTTCCCTGAACTCTGCATCCTTTCTGGAATGTTAGAACTTTTGTTTCAGTTGGATTACTGTCAGGGCCCAGGTCTGACAGAGCTTGTGTAGGAT